AAATAATGTGGTTTAAGATTCCACCTCATATACTTCCCTCCTGCTTTCCCATAATTGAGAGTGCAGCATGATAGGATTCTTTTTTAGCAGAGGAAAACTCGGTATGATTTTTCATACTACTGTAACGTGCAATGCAATCTGATGTTGCTTATAAAACAATAGTATGCATTGTACATTTAACTGAAATTGTTAAAAGAAATTTTTGTCACTACATTCAAGGTCATGGATCTCATGCATTTTCCAGGAAATTCTTGTCGTGGGCTAAAACCATGTTTCACCTGCAGTCTGGATCTTCATTAGCTGATAGGAGGGATTTGCGGCATTGGCAATAAGTTCTGCTGGTTGCTGGCTGACTGCCAAAGCAGGGCTGCTGTTTAAGACAGCAGGTCTCTGCCTTTCGCCAGCCTGAAAGGCACTGTGTTTTCAAGAAGAATGCAGTGCAGGATTTTATGTCGAGTCAAAACCGACGGGCTGTCCTTGCTTTACTGAAACAATTGCATGTTTATGATTTTGTAGTACGTGATGTCATGAGGGTGTTGGCTTTTAGGAATTTCACTACTGAGGAAGCAGTTTGAAATGCAGGCAGAATCTTCAAGACCTTCAAATATGTGCTTGGTTTCCTTTTAGTTAGCTTTGAGCAAATGTATAGGTGGATACATACATACATTTTTTATTTTTTTTTTGGTAAGGAATTAACATATGGAATATAGAAGCGTTTTAAGTGGATACAATACCTGAAGGCAATGTCGAGTCAGTCTGGATTTTCAAACTCTGTTCCTCTACCGGGATATCCATTCTACCAGGTGTCATGCAGGTATATCGTGTTTTAAGTTTTATCTCTTAATGCACTTGCATATAGAGCTTTAGCATGATGCTTGTGTTAACAGATTTTTTTTGTTTTGTTTCCATTTCTTTGTTCTCTGAAAAAATTTATGAAATAGGAGAATTAAGAAGCCGAAAAACATACAGTTTCACAGTGCTTTGTGCCTGATTTTATAATTAGGTTTGCACTTATGTAAAGCAGATATTTTTAATTTCTAAACATACTAAATATTTTGAGACTTTCTCTGACTGGAAAAAACAAGTTGTAAACCTGGAGATTTTTAAAGTGAGTTATGTATTCAGATCTTTCAGTCATTCATTAGGAGCCAGATATGTATGGTGTTGAGAAATGGAAATTATACAAATTTCTAGAAACGTGAGTAATTTGAAGTCTTTTCATGCAAAATTGCGTAAGGTAAATAAAAAAAAAAAGTGCTTACTGTCATTATGCTTTTAAGACAATTCACAAAAAATGTGCACGTGTGGAAAGGAGATAAATGCTAGCGTTGTGATCGTGTTTAATCATACAGGCTTCTTATTGGTTTATTTTTTTGACTTAACAGTTCTGTTTTATTAAAAATCCTTTCTTCTGAGAGTGCTGTATAACAGTTTTCTAGTGAATGGGTTGCATTCTAACCATGAAATTACTGTTCCTGCTCTGGAAGACTGTAATATTGCATAATAATTAGAGGGAATGTGTTACAATACTTCTTTGGCTGAAAGAGCTCAGGTTTCTGGCACACCTTAATAAAGGAATGTAATCTTTGTTTATTGTGTCTAAATCTGAAGTTCCTGCCTCTCATGCTGCAACAATAACAGAGGGAGGGGAAAATTGGAGTGGGAACAGGAGTTTTGTGCTATTACTCATCTTTCTATAGCACGTTTGAAGAGTAGGATAAGAGAATAAGTTAATAATTAACATGTTCATATCCAGAGAATGAACTTGACAAATATTCTTCATAAACTACAGCATACACAGTGGTATGGGTTAATTTTGTAAGGCCGCAGTGATAGTCACTTGTGAATAGAAACAAAAGTGGTTCTGCATAGTGTTCATTTAACCACTTTTCGGTGTGTTTTTTGAAATAAATTCCCACACTTATTTGTGTATTTGTATCTCTGTAGCACTACCAGGCTGTCTGGTCAAAGGTACCAGAAAGGTTTTATTGAAACCAAAGTTAGCCATTTAAAGGTCAACCACAATGATTGCTCGTGGTTGTTGTCCTTTGGCCTAACTTTGGAGGATGCTGAAGTCTAGCAGCCTTTCTCCTTTCTTTCTGGCCTTCTTTCTGATAATAGGTGTGAATGAGCTGGAAATTAAAGACAACAGAAATTCAGTAAATGGCAGCCGATGTAAAAATCTTCTCTTCCCAAAAGTATGTTAGATGCTTAGTCAAATGCACAGCTTTTCACTCCTGGTCCCTAACGTCAAAATGACCAGATTCTACCACCCATCTTCCTGGTTTCCACTGTGACCTTCTAGACAGAATGAAGGTCTTGTCAGTGAGTTCCAAGTCCTCACCTTTCTGTTGTGAAGAGAGATAGATTGAAGTTCCTGAACTTTTGGATCCCCGTTGTTTAACTGCATTTCAGTTTTTTTAATTCTTTCCTCTCTGTTTCTTGCATGTTTTTTGAATCATTATTCTGCATTGCAGGGAAGCTCGTGTTTAATAATTTTCGGATAAGGTAGTTAGTTTCTGTGGTATGCAACTGACATCACTACATCCTAGTTTATGTATGTAGAATTGGGTGGACTTATTTCCTTTCATCACTAAGTCGTACCAACTTTGTGACTTGTTTTTGTTCTGGCACCTATAAGGAGAAATTCTTTACGTTGTGTACAACCACTGATAACTTGACAGCTCTAACTATGTAAAATTAGTATTCCCACAGTCATTTTAGAGCTCATCCTCAGTGCAGAATTTTCCTTCAGAATAGTAACATACATCCATTTCTGGCTGGGGAGTAATATAGTTTACAGAGACAGGACAGAATTAGGATTTTTATTCTGCTCTAGTTGTCATATTCTGGTGAGTGAACATTTTCCAGTAAAATAAATAGACAGTGAGACTATTCTTTATCATAAATGGTTTGTGATCTCTAAGGAGTGGGGAGGGTTAGTATACATTATGCTAAGTTTGTATGTTGGCAGAGACCTTGATCTAATATGGCTCGCATTTGGGATGGCACAAAAGTTTGAACGGAGTTCCGGAAAAGGTGTGTCTTCAGGAAACTTTACCTTTTGTGTAGGCAAGATTAATTTTCTAGAGATCAGAATTATCATTCGAACTGCATGGTGTTTGGAGTGGATTGTGTTTTCTTTTACACATAAGGAGTAATAGTTTAGGTATGATATTTTTGTGGAAATGTGATCCGAAGTATGATAGACTATTCTGGAAGAGTGTACAATCAGCATTTTGTTCATTTAGGGTTTTCTAAAGGTTGCTCAGGACATTGTTTATCTTGGAGATGACTAAGATACAGTCTCCAAAACTAGGTCACTCAGGGTGGCATGATCTCTTGGTTGGCTATGAATTATGGAATTGCATAAATCAGGAGTTCATCTTGGGGACTGTGTTTTTGAGCCACATTGTAACTCATTTTTGGTATCCATGCAATGCAGAATTGAATTTTTTTGGGAGCATTTCCATATTTGGACAAAATCTACAGATTAATAGAATTTATGTTGGGATTGATAACAAACATCTTGTTGTTTCTTCTATGGCACAACATAAGAGATCTGATCTACAACTAGATACTAGTTGTAGAAAATACTTCCTCAAGTAGTTTATCATCTTTGGGTTTTTATAGATTTGGTATTTAATACAGAAATTCAAAGAAAATATTACCATCTGTGATTCCTGTACTTTAAGCTAAGTAGCAACAAAAGTAAAATTAATATTGGTGGCTAAACTTTAAATGGTAGCCAAAGCATGCAAGTAAACCTGCTCTGTGCCATCTTACAATGGCTAGAATGGCATTAGCCAGGTAGCTTGGATTTTTTTTTTTCAATTGCTTAATGTTGTAATGTTTGTTTTCTTTCATATACCATATAGTGTAGAAGGAAGTCTGTTCAAAGGATAGCCTTTGAAAATATGCTTATAGTTCTTCGATTTTCATAAGCTTAATCAGTAGAGATTAAGAACAAAGTTTTCTCTGGCAGAGCTTGCAAAGGCTGCGCTCGTGACTTTTTCCCAGTTACGGTGGTATGGCAAGAGACCTTTTTTGTAAGAACATTTGCTATTTCTCATTGCGTTAGGCTGCTAGAGGAGAAGATGGTAGCCTTAGGAGTTTTCCTTTGGCAAAGAGAAGTGGAAGAGATCTAGTCTCCTAGCCATGTCTGACGAGAAGCCAGAGCTTTCAACTCCCTTGGGATATTAGCAGATTGTAGCCATTTTAGAAAATGGGCATTGTGTTTATGTTTGCCTCAAATACACATTCAAAACCAATTTTGAGTAGGAGGACTTATTTTGAGTAGGAGGAATTACATCTTTTTCCTCACACAGAAATGTGAGATAATACAAACCCCAACCCTGTCTCAGCTGTGGAGCAATTACTAGTGTTTCTGTAATGTAGGTTGAGTTCTGCTGGTGGACGGTGATATTCTTCTTTAAGAAGATTCCTCTTTAGAAAAAAACTTGTTTCTGTCACAAATGCAGGGAGGTCAAGGCATGGGTGTTCCGCATAGTTGAGAGATCTCTAATTTTCAGTAGTTACATTCAAACTAGCGAAACAGTTTTTAGGGTTTCCTGGGCTGTCATAGTCCTTTGGGCTAACCGATATCAGAACCTTCTGCAGCCCTTTGTAATACTGGAATTTCATCTAGGGAAGTTGATGGAAACAATGTTCACAACAAAAGGCTGCTGTTTAAGACTTCCTTGGAATTGTGCATGCTATTATACTTTTTCTGTCTGCTGAAAAGAAGAAAAAAAAGAAAAATAAAAAGCTATCCCATGGAGGCAGAGTGAAAACTTGTAATTTTGTGAGTTCAAGATGAGTCAATTGCATATGTCCAGTTGACTCCAAATGCAGTAATGCAGATCTCATCCACTCATAGCAATATCATAAATAAGCTATTATAATTGAAACTAAGCAACAAACTGGCAGTGCTTAACTGTGGAAAGGGAAGAGATCTTGCAGTGTTAAGCGGCTGCTTTTCCTTTGAGGGAGCCACTGCCTACTTCAAATGTTGGTATTTAATTAGCATCCATTTCTTAAATGAAAAAAAAACCCAACACCACTGCTGTATTTTAGATAGAGGAGTAAATCTTTATCACTTCCATGTTGTAGAGTGTTAGGAGAAAGTGAGTTCTTTTAAAGAAATACAACAGTTACTGAGTTTTCTTTGTAGCATAATCTGACAAGTTTCTACCATAATCTGACAAGTTTAGCTAACCTAAAATCTTTGAGAAATAGTGAGGTCAGGGAAATAGCCATCAAGAATAACAAAAAATATATTAAAATATTTGCTTGTTTGGTTGTGTTAACCAAAATCCTGGGTAACTATTTAATGTTGCTGTTCTGAATATTCCCGCAGTATGTATGTGTATGACAGGGATTTATAGTTACATTTTTTTTGCAATAACTAAATCAGTTGAGCAAATACTTACTGCATTTCTTTGCTCTTTGTTGGTTCAGAGCTGTTCCCTTTCCCGTGGCGGGAGAAGAGGACGAAAAAGGAGAGGGCACAGTTTTTGACAAAATTGACATAATACATGCAAGAACATGGTGTACTAAATCCAAGCTGGCCTTAGAAGCTGTTTCTCCATAGAATTTGGTTTTTATATATCCCTGCAATAAAATGTAGCTTTCATATTGGGACAGGGAGATCGGTCACTGCTTTTTAGATGGATAATTCCTTTTTCAGGACTTGGGAAGAACTAGTGAAGAAACCTGGTGCTGCTATCACCAGCTATTTCCTTTATGTCTAAAAAGGAATATATTAAATTCTGGTTTAAGTAAGAAAGGGAATGACCAAAATCTGAAGAAGAG